CTGCAACACTGAAAAACTGTTATAGTAGTTTTTATGTAGATGCCTCTTGATTTTCCAAGGAGAAAAATTATGTCACGTGAATAAAAGGACTTCTTCCTTATCAATCTATACACTTTTTATTTATGTCTCATGCTTGTACTGGCCAGGACTTCTAGTGTAATGTTGAGTAGGTGTGGAAACAACAGAAATCCTGCCGTGTTTCTAGTCTTAGGATGCAAGTTGTCATGTTTATTTTCATAGACTCCTTTTGTTGCATTAAAGAAGTTCTCTTTTACTCTCAATATGCAGTTTTAAAGTTGTGAATGAAAAACACCAGATTTTGTCATGTGCTTCTGACAAAAGCAAAAGTGAGAGGGGTGGATCACGTGAGATCCTGTCCAGTGAGAGGGCCACCGCCATCTTTTCTCTTTTGGTCTCTCCTGGTGTGGGATCTCCCGGTGTGGGGCCTCTCCTGGTGTGGGATCTCCTAATGTGGTGAACTACAATGATGGAGTTTCAAATGTTAAATCAAGCTAGGGATCCCAGAATAAACTGAACTTAATCATTAAGTATTATCCTTCCTATATACTCTTGGATTTTATTTGCTAAAATATTTAGCATTTTAAATTAATGTTTATTAGTGATATTAGACTATAATTTTTTTTTGTAATGTCTTTCTCTGGTTTTGGTGTCAGACAATGCATTAGGAAGTGTTATTACCTTTTATTTTTTGGAAGAGTTTGTGTAGAATTAGTACTATTTCTTCCTTTATTGTGTAAAAGGATATCAATGGCTCAGAGTTTCCTCTGTTGGAAGGTTTTTAACTATAAATTCAATTTCTTCATATCCAGAGAGATAGATACTAAGATTATTTACTACTTGCTGAGTAAGTTTTGGTACTTGTATCTTTTGTCCATTTGTCCATTTCATCCAAATTGTCAAATTTATTATGACAAAACTGTCCATAATATTCTGTTCACTTATTCATTCTTCTATTCTCTAGCTCAGAACTCTTCTATCAGGTATCATATTTAGTTATGCAAAGTAACTCATTTTTCAACTCATTTTAATTCATTTCAGTAAGATCTTAAACTAGATTTACAACTAAAGTACATATGGTATCTACCTAGATGTAGAGAAGTTCCCATTGACTTAAATACTCCTCTCTACCATGGAAACCTGAGTACCCTCCTTATCATGTTCACTAATAAGGAAATATCTTTATCATTTCTCACTTTATTTTGCATTTACAAATAACTCCCTGGACTTATGTTCTGTCTTTTCCCCACTGTTGTTACACAACTTTTCTGTAAAAAGTATCAAAGTGTCAAAAGTATCAAAGTGTGTTAAAGGATAATACATATTTTCCACTACCCTAAAGCTTACTGAAGCAGTAAAACAAACATTTGAGAACTTCGACCCTGAAGCTGTAATAGCTAACACAAAAATCTAGCTCTCTCACATAGTAACAGTGGGATCTTAGTCGGTCCTTCCCCGGCACTTTCGAGCATCACTTCCTCAGGGACTACTCAGTCCAAATCAGAAGCTCAAACCTTTACTTCGGTTTATAACTACACAGCTATGACTCTGACTATTTGTAGTAATGTCTGCCTCTGTAACTTCATGCTGATTCCAGGACAGCAAGACAGGCTTTCTCCAGTACTCCACCCAGTCCTGGGCATTTAGTCAGGGCTATTAAATAACCTAGGATTATCCTTTCGATGGTATGTGTGATATGCACTGTAGCCACTAGAGGCTGCCTTGCTTCTCTATTTATTCCCCCAGAACAGACACAATAGCAGTGAAGATTCAAGATAAATACAACCACAGTAATTTTCATATTTGTCATTTACTCCAGTGCTCTTGCCTGGAGAATCCCAGGGACGGCGGAGCCTGATGGGCTGCCATCTATGGGGTCGCACAGAGTCGGACACGACTGAAGAGACTGAGCAGCAGCAGCAGCAGCGGCATACATAAAATTTCAGTGATTCCAAAATATCATCCTTCCCATGCTACTTACTTTATTATAGCTATGCACATATAATTAAGCACTATTATCATTTAATATTTCTCTTTTTTAAAAATCACTTTTTATTTAAATTTAGTGAAAAAGAAAACTTTTTCACGGATGAATCTTTTTGGAAATCACCTAAAAAAATGAATAACTACTAAAATGTTTAAAATACACATAACCATGTATCAATAAAAGTCATTTAACTTATACCTCTGGGATGTTTACCACACACTGAAAAACAATGTCAAAAATTAGAATATGTAAAAATGTATAAAAAATTAGATATTTATAAAACTTTACATCAATGAAAAATTTGCACTGAAAATATTACTTGTGGTTATTTTAAGAGTACTAAAACAAAAAAATAATTTTTTAATCAAGAAAACAATTGAAGTGCTTGGAAAAAAGCGATCTTTTATATTTTTATCACTAACATACAAGCATCAATGACTATCCAGATTATTCAGTGAAACATTGGCTGTAAAGACCTAGATTAATGCAAAACTTGCTAAGTAGAAGGAAAATTCCTCAACAATATTAATGGCAAATTATTATTAAATATAAATCAGCAATTGTTAATAATATCCTAGTATGCACTATTAATATTTCTTCAACATTTTTAATTGATAGGAAATCTCTATGCACTGTGGAAGAGAAAGGTACTTACTGAGACAACTGGCCAGTTGATTTGTTAGGGGCTTGGAAGGTCACATTGACAAGTCTATGATTACAGGATATGAGGTAGAACCAGGGAATTACAGATGTGTCGTAGGAAGCTGCTGATCAAGGAAGAACTTCTATATCCAACTTCTTACAACTCTCTGAGGAAACATATTTTAAATCTATTTTCAATTTTCATTTTAGAAGTCAGATCCTAAAAGATATTCCCTTTGGGGCCTACTTTGGGGCAATTAGCTTTTTCTGGCTAACGCTAAAAAATGACTGACATCAGGTTTATTCCACTTTACTTTTAAAAATCTGTCAAATATTCTCAAGATATACGAGTAATACATTAATTGATAAGTGATTATAACATTTGTTGTGTACTAGGTACCAGGTACTGTGACAAGCACATTCCTAAGTCTCTGTACTTTAAGTGTCTCCTTGACAGAGGAGGCTGAGAGGAGTCAAGTAACTTTTTAAAAGTCTCAAGGCAAATCATTGGCAGGACGGGGATATGAACGGTAGGCTCTTCAACCTAATAAGCACAGTCCTTGAGAGGAAGACCCTAAGTGTGGGGACCTTAAGTACAACAGATGTGTAAAATTCCTATTACACAGGTGGAAATACTGCATATAAATAACCCATTTCTAAACATGCCTTTTCCTTGCCATTCCCTAATCCTTCCCATTTTTCCATTCCAGAAAGTGGTTTCATCTTCAATCTCTCTGGCAACTCAATTACAATAAAGATCAGCAATCCTTTTAGCTAAGGACTATGAAACAACACTGGTGTCTCTTTTGATACTATTTTCCTAAGATCTGGAATTTTTTTCCCATGCTTTTCTTCAAGACATGGCATGCACGCACACACACACATAAATTTAGAATTAAACACTAGGAGCTAATGTTCTGTTAAAAAATAATGGTTCCAATTCTTGGTATTAAAAGCATCAAAAAAACTTCTACCGAAAACAAAACACATACCCCAAATTCAGTTCAGTGGCTCAGTCGTGTCTGAATCTTTGCGACCCCATGGACTGCATCATGCCAGGCTTCCCTGTCCATTACCAAACTTGCAAACTTGCTCAAACTCATGGCAATTGAGTTGGTGATGCCATCCAGCCATCTCATCCTTTGTCATCCCCTTCTCCTCCTGCCCCCAATCCCTCCCAGCATCAGGGTCTTCTCCAATGAGTCAGTTCTTCGCATCAGGTGGCCAAAGTATTGGAGTTTCAGCTTCAGCATCAGTCCTTCCAATAAATATTCAGGACCGATTTCCTTTAGGATGGACTGGCTGGATCTCCTTACTCTGCAAGGGACTCTCTGAGGGACAGCATTTAACGTTTTGAAGCGTCCCCATTGTGCAAGCTGTGTATTAAATCACAAGTGCTTACTGCGCTCCTAATAGTTTGTTACCGAAATCTAGACTGTCGGGATATTCGCAGATCCAAGCAGATCCCAACGTCCCCGCTGCAGGTTCCATTGGCTCTGTCCCTGTGCCGCACCCAGCCCCCCGGGGTCCCGCAGGCACGAGGCTGGGAGGGCGAGAAAGAGGAAGCAAGCCCCCTCTGATCACCGGCCCTGCCCGGCACCGGCCACCCCCGCGGGGAAAACGTCAGCAGCGAGCAGCGCACATCGCAGGAGCGAAGGAAGAGGGGGCGGCGCACCCCGGCTAGCGCTAGTGTCGGGCCGGCCTCTGCCCCCACTTCTCCCGGACTCTACCTGGGCTTGAGCAGGTCTGGCTGACCTCGGGAACGAGGTCTCGTCAGCGCTAAGGCGGGGTCCGGCTGCGAGTCAGAGCTCCCCTCTGGCCCAGAAGAGAAGCTTCCTAAGCTACCGTCACAAACGCTCCCCAACCACGAAACGACCCCAACACTTACCTGGCCTGAAGCTACTCTCGCGATAATTCCCGGGTCAGTCCTCCGTGACTCCATCCCCGCCCCTACCTCCTGCGACCAATTACAAAGGAGTGGGGTGGGGCTTTGCCTTTGAGCAGGGGGCGGGGCCCCTCAGTCTCTGCTCACCTGCGTGGGGAGCAGGCGGGGCGGGGCGGGGAAAGGGGCGGGGCACGCGCCATTTTCGCGATACCGGGGACCAGGAAGATTCCCGCAGAGCCGGGCTGCTGGTGCCGATGCGGCTGAGGCAGTGGCTGCTGCTACGGCTGCAGCCTCCGGACTGTTCGCTTCCGAGCCTGAGCCTAGTCTCCAGGTGAGGAGGCGGGACGTGGCAAGGCCGGGTCTGGGGAAGCGAGCGGTGCCTGCCCAGGCTGAGCGGGGACTCAGGCCGCGGCCTATCAGATCCAGACAGGGAGGCTCCCACACTCCTGACACTGTAAGATGGCGGCGATGGCGCCTGGAGGTGGCGGCGGCGGCGTGAACCCTTTCCTCAGCGATTCGGACGAGGATGAGGACGAGGTCTCGGCGACCGACGAGCGGCGGGCAGGACTTCGGCTGGGTGCCGGGGGCAGCCTAGATCCGGGCTCTGCGGACTCGCTGTCGCCCCAGGACCCCGTGGCCTTGGGGAGCAGTGCCCGAGCTGGGCTCCCCGGGGAAGCGGCGGCGGCGGCCCTGGGGGGCCCTGGGGGAGACCCCGGCCCGCCTGTCAATTGATGCGATCGCCGCCCAGCTGCTGCGCGATCAGTACCCACTGACCGCCTTGGGGCTGCACACTGAGTTGTTAGAGAGAGGGAGCGTGCTCCCTCGGCTGCGCGACTACTTCCCCAACCCTGACAACTTCGAGGGGCAGAGCGGGATCCCGCCGGGGACGGGGGCGCCGCGGGTCCCCGGGGCGACCGGCCTTGGAGGCGCAGGAGGTTGGGAACCGAGTACGACGGCGGGTGGGGGACAGCTCAGTAAGTGAACGACGGCGCTGTCCCTCCGGCTGGGCTTTTGGGGTTGTGGGGGGTTATTGTGGGGAGGGGGTGCTTGTGGGCCGGTGCAGAGTACTGGGAGCATTTCAGCTAGAGGGTTGGGGCGGGGGGCGGGCGGTGATCTTTTGCCGTGGAGGCTAAAGGATCTGACAGCGACTGTTCTCTCGCTGCCTGCCTCCAGCCCTTGGCTGGACTTGCACCAGCTCCTGGTTCCACTATTGGTGTCCATATCTATTAAATATCCAGAGTTTCTAGTTCACTGGCTACTACATGACTCCAGAAGACTCCCTTGCAACCTTGGTTTATCGCTTTAATCGTTTTTCCATTCTCTCCCGTCTCCTGAACCGCCACTACCTGGAAACAGTGTTCTTATGTTGTACCCAGTAATTATTTGACTCCAAGTCAAGAGAGTAAAGAATAGTATATGTTACTCTTTCCCCGAAACCAGATCCACTTGAAGACCCGTTGTCTTTGGGTTGAGTTGATTACTCAAAAGTTGCATCTTCTACTGCATAAAATTTGTTCAGTTTAAATAAATTCAGTTTCATTCACTTTTGGTTCCTTAATTTCAGTGGGTGTCCAGAATTATAGGATGTCTAAGGAGTAGAGTAGGCAGGTTCTCCCTGCAGTGTTACTTCCTGGTCTCAGAACCTTGTAGGCTTTTTTCTCTTGGTAAGTTTAGGAATTAACTTTTCTGCCTCGTTATAATCATTGTTAACCGTATATAGTGGTCGTTTACCTCATTCATCATATATTTATAAGCATTTCTTATGTCTTTAAAACGTACTGCCAACCCTGGAGAAAGGCATGGCAAGCCACTCCAGTATCCTTGCTTGGAGAATCCCATGGACAGAGGGGCCTGGCAGGCTACAGTCCATGGGGTGGCAAAGAGTTGGACACTACTGCGACTTAGCACACGTCCTTAATTCAGAAGATTCTTACATTTTAAAGTATAGCCTCAGACATTTTCTCTGCTGGAACACTTATATAATTACATTAAATTATCCCAATCCATAGCCCATTAAAAAAAAAAAAAACAGAAAACAAAAAACATCCCACCAAGGATGCATATTGGAGTCCCAGTACCTATCCTTCTTAAGAGGCATCTTAGATTTTCCCTTACTAACAGTATGAGGTTTTCAGTGTGTTATGTGAGGCCAACTGAAATGTGCTCACACATGTTAAAATACATGATTTAAAATTGTAGCCAAACTGATGGTTTTTTTTGTGAGTACTTTTAAATGGTGCCAGAGACTGAGGTCGCCTAACCTCAGTGCCTCAGTTCATTTGCTCAGTCGAGTCTGACTGTTTGTGACCCCATGAATCACAGTATGCCAGGCCTCCCTGTCCATCACCAACTCCCAGAGTTTACTCAAACCCATGTCCATTTAGTCAGTGATGCCGTCCAGCCATCTCATCCTCTGTCGTCCCCTTCTTCTGCCCCTAATCCCTCCCAGCATCAGGGTCTTTTCCAGTGAGTCAACTCTTTCCTATCAGGTGGCCAAAGTATTGGGAGATTCAGCTTCAACATCAGTCCTTCCAGTGAACACCCAGGACTGATCTCCTTTAGGATGGACTGGTTGGATCTCCTTGCAGTCCAAGGGACTCTCAAGAGTCTTCTCCAACACCACAGTTCAAAAGCATCAGTTCTTCGGTGCTCAGCTTTCTTTATAGTCTAACTCTCACATCCATACATGACCACTGGAAAAACCATACCCTTGACTAGGCGGACCTTTGTTGGCAAAGTAGTGTGTCTGCTTTTTAATATGCTGTCTAGGTTGATCGTAACTTTCCTTCCAAGGAGTAAGCATCTTTTTATTTCATGGCTGCAATCACCATCCGCAGGGATTTTGGAGCCCAAAAAAATAGTCTGACACTGTTTTCACTGTTTCCCCATCTATTTGCCATGAAGTGATGGGACCAGATGCTATGATCTTAGTTTTCTGAATGTTAAGCTTTAAGCCAACTTTTTCCACTCTCCTCTTTCACTTTCATCAAGAGGCTATTTAGTTCCTCTTCACTTTCTTCCATAAGGGTGGTGTCATCTGCGTATCTGAGGTTATTGATATTTCTCCCGGCAATCTTGATTCTAGCTTGTGCTTCTTCTTTCTCATGATGTACTCTGCATAGAAGTTAAATAAGCAGGGTGACAATATACAGCCCTGACGTACTCCTTTTCCTATTTGGAACCAATCTGTTGTTCCATGTCCAGATCTAACTGTTGCTTCCTGACCTGCATACAGGTTTCTCAAGAGGCAGATCAGGTGGTCTGGTATTCCATCTCTTTCAGAATTTCCCACAGTTTGTTGTGATCCACAGTCAAAGGCTTTGGCGCAGTCAATAAAGCAGAAGTAAATATTTTTCTGGCACTCTCTTGCTTTTTCAATGATCCAGCGGATGTTGGCAACTTGATCTCTGGTTCCTCTTCCTTTTCTAAAACCAGCTTGAACATCTGGAAGTTCACAATTCACGTAATGCTAAAGCCTGGCTTGGAGAATTTTGAGCATTACTTTACTAGTCGTGTGAGATGAGTGCAATTGTGCGGTAGTTTGAGCTTTCTTTGGGATTGGAATGAAAACTGACCTTTTCCAGTCCTGTGGCCATTGCTGAGTTTTCCATATTTGCTGGCATCACTCAGTCGTGTCTGATTCTTTGTGACACCATGGATGGCAGCCTGCCAGGCCTCCCTGTCCATCACCAACTCCTGGAGCTTGCTCAAATTCATGTCCATTGAGTTGGTGCTGCCATCCAACCATCTCATCCTCTGTCGTCCCCCTCTCCTCCTGCCTTCAGTCTTTCTCGGCATCAGGGTCTTTTCCAATGAGTCACTTCTTTGCATCAGGTGGCCAAAGTATTGGAATTTCAGCTTCAGCATCAGTCCTCCCAATGGATATTCAGGACTGATTTCCTTTAGGATAGACTGGGTGGATCTCCTTGCAGTCTAAGGGACTCTCAAGAATCTTCTCCAACACCACAGTTGCCTAACATAGATATAACTTAGATGTAGTTAAACTTCAAAGAGTGCCTTTTTCCATCAAGATAAATCCAAAGCAGTCTTCTCTCTTGAATATGGAATTTTCTCAGCAGGCATAACTTCCTTGCTCAGTATTGCAAGATTATCTTCCTTTTTCTGAAACTGGTTTTTCTGTGGCTGACCTTAAAGACTATAAAATGTAACAAAAGAGCAGTGTAAGAAAATTGTTAGGCAGTTGGCTTTTGTTTGTTTTAAGATTTTTGAAGTGTCTAATGATTTTCACCTGATAAGCTCTTACTACTTCCTCAAGACCCAGCTCAACTGTCATCTTTGTAAATACTTCCCAAACTACCAAGGCTTAGTTGTTTGATTCTTTCATTGTACTACTTTCAAACCTCAACCATAGTCTTTAACTCTTCTTATTTGATTTATTAACAGTATCATTTCTCTCCATTAGATAGTCAGCTTCTTGAGGGACATCTTTTTATTACTCACAGCTTGTATAGTCCCTGGCCTGTTGTTGAACAACTGAATTGTATCTGTTATGTTTTTCTACTGTATAGATATAATGAAATAAGTTATTCCTTTATAACATTATTTTATTTAATTTAAAATAATTTATTAATCTTTTCAGCCTACCTGATTATGGTGTGGTATCACTGTTTATAGTGAAAATTTCTCTTAAATACTTTTTTGTACAGAAATAGTGATATTTATAATTTAGGCTCTAAATATAACCGTGTTTTAAAGTTGACTTCTAAATGCCTTTGCACTATACATTTTTATAGTTTCTTGAAATAACTTCAGTCCTGTGATCATAAATCAGAGTTTAGCTATAATCAAATATTCATGTGTAGTTGTGCTCTTCCATAGTTTATTTGGACCTGTTTTGGGTATAACTCAAAAGAACATTATTACATAATATAATATATTTTCAAGTGAATACAAAAAACAGATGAGCAGTAGGGGAAAAAAAATCACAGTTATCCATAATCCAACCAATAGTACTTGCCTTTTCTGTTTTTTCTATGCATATATGTTTAAAAGCAAAAAATGGATTAAACTGTTTTTGTAGCTTTATATTATTTGATAGGCTATAATTTTTACCATCAACTTTGAGGTAAAATTGCATACAATAAAATGTGCCCATTTGAAGTGTACAGTGTGGTGAATTTTGGAAAACAAATTACTACTACAAATAAAATATAGAACATTTTTTATTGTCCCCAGAACACCTTCATTTTCCTTTGCATTCAGTATCCCAAGACCATCACTGACCACAGTAGACAACAATTTTCCAACCTGGGCCTAGGCACTATTGGAATTTTGGGCCTGATAATTCTTTGTTGTGTTAGTGTCCTGTACATTCTAGAATGTTTAACAGCGTTGCTGGCATCTGTGTCCACTACATAACAGAAGCAACCACCCAGTCCCCATTCCCCAAGTTGTGACAATCAAGAAATGTCACCAGCACCATCTGAGGAAGGGGAGGGCAAAATTCCCCAAGTGAGAACCACTTCCTTAGATAAGTTTTGCCTGTTTTTAAATTTCATATAAATGCAGTTTGGAGGATATAGGCTTTTCTGTGTGGCTTCCTTTCCTCAGTAGAATGTTTTTGAAATTCATCCAAATAATGTTTTTATGTGTAATAGTAGTTCATTGCTTTTTGGGTTTTTCCATTCATCTGACATTTATTTTTTTTTTCCCATTTTTGGCTTATGTGAATAAAGCTGCCATGAACATGCTTGTATAAGTTTTGCAGAGACATATGTTTTCATTTCTTTTGGATAATACCTAGGAATAGAATTTCTGGTTCATATAGTTAGTATACATTTAAATTTGTAAGAAGCTGTCAAACTGGTTTTCCAAAGTGGTTGTATCATTTAAAATTTCCATCACCAGTGTATGAGAGTTTCAATTTCTATACATTCCCCAAACCCTTGGTATTTTCAGGCTTTTTATTTAACTCATTCTAGTGAGAGTACGGTGGTATTTCTTTGTTGTTTTA